TTCTTGTTGTTACTTATTATCTGACCGGAATGCTTGAAACCTGTGCATGAACACTTAAACTGTTTACTCTTTGTTGACGATAAAGGTTGACTTTCTTTCCCCGTTCATAAAATTAGGTCCAGTCCCTATCCTCCTTGCACACTACCACTTACCTTCTTGCGTAGGCAGATTAACTTTGTTGGCGGTAGTCAACAAGATAACACATGTACACATCAATGGTGTATGAGACCCCAGATGGCCACTGGGAACCATGCACCACTTTCTAGATACCTTGATGTTAGCACATGAATGTGCAAAGGTTAGATGTCACCTCGACCTAGAGCTGAATGACGCTGAGGACGTTTCCTGTACCTAACTTATGTGCTTCTCTGGTGAACCGAGGAACAACGATGTGTACCGTATGTCTTTAGCTGCGTAAAACATTTTCATCATTAAAAATAACGNTTCCACATGCTCAAAACACAAACGATGGATGTCGTCAACCTCGGCTACCCTGCTAAAAGCTCGCAGAACCCTCCCTCCGGATGCCACGTACCACACAACGCGCAAATCCCTTAAACGCCAGCTCATCAAGAGTCTGAGGAATGACCACGAGAAGTGGTGGATAGGAAAGTGTAGAGAGATGGAGAAGGCCGCGGTTATCGGCAAAAGTCGCAATCTTTTCCGTCTAATTAGGAATACAGGCCCCATGAAAGTAGGCGTGAGTGAGGTAATTAAGGAATCCAATAGCGCACTGATTCGCGATCAGCAACGCCGTCTTAATCGATGGGCTAATCACATCAAGGCTAAGTTCAACTGGCCCCCATCGACATCTGATCTTTCATCCTCCACCTTGACTGGGCCAATACTGCCAGTTGATGCTCTTCCTCCATCTGAAATGGAGGTTACCCGAGAAATAAGCTATCTCAAAATGCAGAACACTTCCGAACCCGACGGGCTGTCGCCATAGGTTTTTAAGGATGAAGGTTTAGCCTTGGTCTTGGAGTGACAAAACTCCTGGGCTCAGTGTGGGAGAGGGAAGAGGTTCCAGCTGAATGGTGTGAATCGGTAATCATACCGATTTACAAGAGAGGCGACAGGTCCTCCTGTGAAAACCAGAGAGGAATTAGTTTAATCAATATTGCTTCTGAACTTCTTGCCGGCATCATACTCCGATGATCGTCTGCCGCGCGTAAACGGTGCACGCGTGAGAACCAGTCTGGTTTTAGAGGTTGTATCGACTACATCTTCACTCTTCACGGAACTCTTGAGCACCGACATTCTTTTCGTAGACCCACCATCTCTAGCTTCCTGGATCTGAAGGCGGCTTTCGACTCAGTCGACCGCTCTAAACTCTGGCGCTGCTTTACTTNGGATGGAGGTTCAGCCTTGGTTTTGGAGTGAACAAAACTCCTGGGCTCAGTGTGGGAGAGGGAAGAGGTTCCAGCTGAATG